CCCTCGAGTGAGTATACGTACACGACGAGCCATGAATGTCCACGCATGATATATGCTTGCCTCCAGGGGGGGCACGACTGTGTCCATATGACCGCCGCCTGTCGCGGTCCCCGGAGGATCGATCCCCCAGACGGTGGCCATAGAGAAAAAATCCCCACCTCGGACCAGTTCCTGCGGCGAGGTCAGGACGAGGATAATATGGGGTGCGGATGAAGGCGATAGAAGTCGGGGCGTTGACCTAAGGAACCTTAAATAAGGAACGAGGCTCCTTTTTTCCATAAGTTAAACTTCGATCCCCCATCGAAGACCAAAGGACAACCTAAGGCAAGCTGCGAAACAATTAAAGAACACGGAGCCCCTCCCCAACGAAATGGGTTCCTTGTCCAGCGCCCCGACGGTACTCTCTGAGATCCAGCGGCTCTGAAGGATGCCTCGGGCGCCGCAGCGCTCTCGAAGCGCTATCAGGACGCTCTGAGAGCATACCGGAAGGCTCTGGAAGGGATTTCCCCCCGTCCTACAGCCCTGCTCAAAAATTCAAAACATTGGCTAAGGGAGTGGACTGCGCTCGAAGCGTTGTCTTCGGCAATGGCCCAGGTCCACACCTACAAACCTTCTGCGAAGAGAAGAGAAGCTCCAGAAGAGAGCGCCCAGGGCCCGGTCCAGATCCCCGGTCTTCTACTTGAGCTAGGTCCGGAGCCCGCGACAGTTCGCGCCCTCCCCAGAGTTCGTTGGTAATCCCTAAACGTGGTGGTGACAACACCTGGCGGTGAGTCTCGGGCGATTTGGTGTCACCACCCGGTTTGGGGACCCATGCGCTTGCTCGAGGATGTCCCGAACGCTGGTGGGCCCAGGAGTCACAAGACCCGGCGGTGAGCCCGTGTCCCAAAACCCGGGGGTGACTTTTTGGGGATTCCAGGGCACCACCTGATATCTCACCACCTGGTTTGGGGGCTCCCGAGTTCTCGTCATCGGCGTGGCGCCGTGCAACCTGCCCCCCTGGCAGCCCAGACCCCCCCGACGTCGTGGTTTTGTCCGCAGCGTCGGCCCCAAAAATTTGGACGCCCGGAATGGGTACGGGAAAAATGGGTACATGCCCAACAACAATGAAGGGGCCCACTACTTTCCCATAGCTTCCCACACAAATAAATACACACAAATAAATACACACAAATAATTACACACAAATAAATAAATAACAACAACAACAACAACAACAACAACAACAACAACAACAACAACAAACAACAAACAACAAACAACAAACAACACACAACAAACAACAAACAACAAACAACAAACAACAAACAACAACAACAACACACAACAACAACAACAACAACAACAACAACAACAACAATAACAACAACAACAACAACAACAACAACAACAACAACAACAATAACAACCACAACAATGAACAACAACATGTGGACACACAAATAAATACACACAAATAACACATATCCCCAGATTTTCCTATATTTTCTGGGTTTCTGTCTTCCCCACCACTTCCCATATTTTCCCATATTTTTTTATGGGATCGACGATTAATTGTGTCTGTGTGTTTTTTCCCCTCCTGAAACAAATGTCGTCCCAAACCAATAGCGGCCGCTGCTGGGCAAAGGCGGCCTTCTGTCTCGAAGGAACACAGGCCGCGGCGGCGTGGACCTCGAACCCGGTTCAAAAGGAGCAGGAACTGCTGTTGGGCATCGTACCCCTTCTTTCCGTACCCTCGGGCGTCCAGACCAGAGGTCTCGACCCCTTCCCCAGGACCGAGGCCCTTTGAGGGGGCCCGCGGAGGCCGACAATGGGGGAAAACCTCCGGTCGGGATCGCTTCGCAGCGCGCGAGGGTCTTCGGAGCTACTCCCCTGGCCTCTCCCTGGGTGCGTTCTGACCAGCATTTCGAAGCGAATCCAGCGGTGGCGAAAAATTCAGGAGGCCCTCGAAGCGAATCCAGCGAATTCAGGAAGCCCAGAAAGGGGAATTACGGGGAGAAGGTCGAGATATGGGTACCTTCTCCTCCTCTGATGATCGGTGTGGCGCCGTCCGATCCCAGACGTGCGACGTCCTGACTTTTTCGGTGCGGCGCCCCTGGAAGTCCAGGCCCTCTCCCCTGGGCCGGCTTTTCATCCCGAGCCGCTCTTGGACGGTCCCGGGGCCCGGCGAGGAGGGCCCCCGAGGGCCGAAAATGGTGCAAAACCTCTGCCCCGAATTTTTGTTCGCGGCGCGATCCTGTCTGGGACCTCCTCCCCTGGCGGAATCGGCTACACGTAAGAGTGACCCCGGGTAAGAGTGACCTTTGGTGCGCGGCTTTTGGGGGGCCGCGGGGGGAATAAATCCAGGCGCGCTAGCCGCTGCTACCGCTTCGCGTTCGGCCATCTGGGGGCCCATCTGTGCCCGCACCAAAGGTCATTCCGGCGAAAGGTCACTCTTACGTCTAGTCGGCAGAAGGCCCCCTCCCTCCCCGCGGCGGCCGTGCAGCAGCGAGCCGGCCCTGCGGGCGGCCAGCGCGGCCGCGGCCAGCGCCGCCGCGGCGGCGCGGCCCGCCGCGGCGCGGCCCGCCGACGGCGCGGCGGGCGGGGCGGCGTCGCCGAGGGCGGCGGCGCGGGCTGGGGGGGGCGGAGGGAGGAGGGAGGAAGGAGGAGGGAGGAGGGGAGGGGGAGGAGGAGGGAGGGGGGAGGGAGGAGGAGGAGGAGGAGGGAGGAGGAGGGAGGGGAGGGAGGAGGGGAGGAGGGAGGAGGGAGGAAGAGGAGGGAGGAGAGGAGGAGGAGGAGGAAGGAGGAGGAGGAGGAGGAGGAGGAGGAGGAGGAGGAGGAGGAGGAGAGGAGGAGGAGGGAGGAGGAGGAGGATGAGGAGGAGGGAGGAGGAGGAGGAGGGAGGGTGAAACCCTCCCCTGGCCAAAGCACACAGGACATCCTAGGGCACCCTGCCCAGGATGCCAAAGAGCATCCGAGAAGCAGGAAGGACATGCGGGTCTTGCGGCCTGGGGGGCGCCAAGACTACCCCGGGCCTCCCCGCGTTCCTGCGCGGGCGGTGCGCAGAGAGCAACCAGAAGACGAGAAAACAACATAAACAGAAACTTGCCACGGTCCACGTGGATTAAATGCAAACGTCATGCCTGTAGCACTCTCATTGATGATCCCTGCTCGCGCATTCTGAATCATACGCTGCGATTCTCTTCTCTAGCCTCTCGCATTGTTTGTAAGACTGGATGCAAAACTATGGCTTGATATTTGTCTTCAGATTAGGTTATAAAAATAGAAGGCCCAAGTAAGTTATGCGCATCCGCTGTGCACATAGTGTCCACCTTGATTATCTTACATTCCGGAATGGCTGTTCCATCAAAAGTTGATCTCCTGGATCTGCGCTGGACCCCCTCCCTGAGGCCGGAGGCGCCGCTGGAGGGGGGCAGCGAAGATCCGAGAAATCCACGCGGGGAGCCGAAAGTTTATATTCGTATGCCGTTTTCTCCTTCGAGGGATACAGCCAGACTTAGGACAGAAGAGCACCCTTCAAGAACATGAGACCCTCTGCCGACCAAAACACACTGACATGTGCCTAGGGCACCCTCCCCAAGATGCACGAGAACATCTGCAAGCACGAAGGACACTCGGATACCCTCCCCGAACCGACCTCGATCTTCTACCTCGGTCCGACCGTAGGGGGGAGGGGGGAAGGCTTCTCAGAAGGAGGCTGCGTCTTCGAAGGCGCCAGCCTCACCTCTACAGAGAAAGCCCACACGCCATCTGAGAAGCTGGCCGACCTCGTCAGCCGCAAACGGGTGTTGTCCGTCGCAGCGCGGCAGGGGCGATCCGCACGCGCGCGCTCGAGTGAGCCGCGGGCTATGGCAGGCAGTAGCTTGAAGTCGGGCCTGTCCCCCTACAGTCCGATGTTCGAGGGCACTCCAACCAAAGCCCTCCCGGAGCGCCACAGTTCGGGTCGGGTGCTTAGCTGCCCCGACACGCAGCACGCAACACGTAGCGTACTGATATGCGGATCTCAACACGTAGGCTGAACACGTAGGTATGACGCGATACGTTTGCCAAGTCGTGGGCCAATACGTTGAGCCAACACGCAACGTATTGACACGGACGATTTGAGCACGGCTCGTGTTGAGCATCAAAACGGGATATCGAGGCAGCTAAGGTTGGGTGTGGGTGCGGGATCTACATGTGTTTTCTCAATGCTCCCCCACGACCCCGCCAACCTGGGAATGGAGGGCAACCTGGGGCCTTCGGGTTGGGCTGGGGTGGTTTGGTGGGTGGTGAAGAGCAGGATGAGCAGGAGTACTATTTGATGGAAGGAGAGCTGGAGCGAAGAGTGCCAGCGCACAAGGCGCACAAGGGGTCGCGTGCAAGGGGGCCGGATTGGTCGTGCACGTTGTGCGCCTCCTCCCTCTCCTGCACAAGCACGCGCGCGCAGATCCAACCCCAAGGGCATTCACGAGAGCCCCGTACAAGGGGCGCCATGTCCCCCGCACAGGGCCTCCGCACAAAACTCGCGCGAGTTTCAACATATTGAAAAGATGGGAATGGGCAAGGAGGAGGGGGAGGAGGAGGAGGAGGAGGAGGAGGAGGGGGAGGAGGAGGAGGAGGAGGGGGAGGAGGAGGAGAAGGAGGAGAAGGAGGAGGAGGAGGAGGAGGCCGAACAGGAGCAGCAAGAGCAGAGGAGTGCGAGGAGAGGGAGGAGCAGACGGACCAGGGGAAGGCGGAGGACCTCCGCTGCTCCCATCTCTTTCTCGTCTCACACGTTGTCTGGGAGAGGGAGCGGGCCCTGCGGGACACGGATGCTGGACGGTTTTGCTGATGCGTGTTTGGCGGCCCGAGGCCCTCCTGGGCCCCTGGGACCGTCAAAGGACCAACCAGGATGAGGTGGTCCCAGGGGAAGGCCCCTGGGACTAGACGACCCGAATCCCTCAGGACTCGTTTCCTCGTCCTCTTCTGCTCTCCCTCCTCTTTCGGTCGGGGCCTCCTCTTTCGTTCGGGGCTTTCGGGAGCTTTCGTCGGTTCTTCTGTGCTTTCTCGCCTCCAGAAGCTTTCCAGCAGCCGGGCCTGGTCGAGAGAACTCCAGAGCTGCCCGGACCGCCCCGAACGGCCGCCGAAGGCCCCAGGTACGGCGCGAAAGCCAGACCTCCTCGCGCCGGGGAACGCTACAGCCGGACTTGATTGGCAAGAGAACACGCGAGAGGACAAAAAGGCCCTTCCGAGGGCCACATTGCCATAGGAATGCGGGAGGCATGGGTCGCGAGACACAGGACACAAAGGTACCCTTGATTTGGCAGGGTCGACCTACCAATCCGGGCCGACTGTAGCGACGGGCTCTGGAAGCAATTCCCAGCCTCCAGGGGCCCTTGCCAAGTCGGGGTGAGCAGCCGGTCCAGGGGAAGGGGTCCAGACCTGTGGTTGCGAACAGAAATCACGGCCTCGGAGCTCCTGGCGGCGCCGCAGGCAGGAGGCCACACGCGAGCCCTGCCGGAGGAGGAGGAGGAGGAGGAGGAGGAGGAGGAGGAGGAGGAGAAGGAATAGGTCCCAAGCGAAGTGAACCCCACCTCCCCCCCAAGAAATCGTGGGGTGGTGGGGTAGGTTTCGCATGCTCCTCACGCGATGCACTTCCTCCTCCCCCTCCTCCTCCTCCTGGCTCCTCCTCCTCCCTCCCTCCCTCCCTCCCTCCCTCCCATCCCTCCCTCCCTCCCTCCCTCCCCCTCCCTCCTCCCTCCTTCCTCCTCTCCTCCTCCTCCTCCTCCCTCCTCCTCCTCCTCCTCCTCCTCCTCCTCCTCCTCGAGCAGGGCCGTCCCCGACATGGTGGGGGTGTGCCCGAGGGGCCGCTCTGGGGGGGGTGGGGGGAGGGGGGGAGCGCCCAAAACACTCCGACGTCGTGCGACTTATGTCGCAGCCGGGTGGAGGTCCTGGAGGCCTGGGCCCTTTCCCATACAGCATTCGGCCTGACCTAGGGAACGATAAACAAGGAACGAAACTCCTTGGTTTAAGAAAGAGTCTACGAAGCCCGAAGGAACGGCCGAGCCCGTTCCTAACGGCGTCCCGCCACGATTTGCTTTTGCGATTCGACCCCCGCCCCTTCTGCCAAACTACCAAGAAATGCCAGGGGGTTCGCCGCAAAAAAGGTAGCGGAACGCATGGCAACCAAAGGAACGACCGAACCCCTTCTGAAGAAAAGTCAGTGTTCCTGATTCAGGCAACACCCTGTAGGGAAGGCTTTTATCATCTCGAGTGGCTCTGTTAACGGTACTAGCGCTCGGTGAAGGCCCAGCCGAGAACTGACTACCTACCAGACCACCCCAACCCAACCCGAATACCCGACTTTCGGGTTGGGGGCGGGGTACGGGCTTCATACGCGTTTTCTGTTCCATGTTTCCCCCACTGGAAATGGAGGTCAAATCGGGGCCTTCGGGTTGGGTTGGGATGGTCTGGTGGGCGGTGAAGAACCGACAGCAGCACAAAAAACCCGGAAGCTCCAGTCGCGACGCCTCGCATGCGGGGAGGTCTGGGAGCCCTCGAGCATCCCCTTCTCTCTCCGCGCGGCGAGTCTGCTGGGGATCTGTGCCCCGCGCGCCACGGAACGCTCCCTGTGGCCCTGCCAGCTGTCGCACAGAAGAGGAGGAGGAGGAGGAGGAGGAGGAGGAGGAGGAGGAGGAGGTGGAGGTGGAGGAGGAGGAGGAGGAGGAGGAGGAGGAGGAGAAGGAGGAGGTGGAGGAGGAGGGGGAGGAGGCCTCAGCACCGCCCCGCTGGGGCCTCCGCGGGGCCTGCGGAGATGTCACCTGGGCCTCCTCGAGGCTCCCAGGTGGCCTCGAGGAGCCTCCCACGGGTCTCTAGGCTCCCAGGAACCTGTGGATCCAGCGGCGTGGCCCTCCAGGCGGCACCAGGCTGTAGGCAGAGAGGTCTGTCCCAGGGCTTCCTCCTGAGAGCCGATCAGGCGTCTGAGCCCGCTCGCCGCCGACCGGGCTCCAGAGCCAGCCCGTTCGGCGGCGCGCGCCGAGTCTGCGTGGCAACGGGGCCGTCGCCAATCCACGCGCCGTCCTCCGTGCCTGCGCCTCCTCGACGCACGCAGCCTCGACCCCGGCACCCCCCCCTGGTATAGTCCCAGCTGGCCTCGACAGGCCGCCCGAGTCACTAGACCCAGCTGGCCTCAGCAGGCCCCTGCAGCAGCCCGAGGCGGTCTCAACATCCCCGACGTCGACTCCGGCGGCGCCCCTGGAGCGCGGAACGCCGCATGACTGAGGCGTGGAGACCGCCCCAGCTGCAACCCGAAGCCCCGGTCCAAGGGCTGCCGGTGCGCAACCCGCAGCCGTGCCAGGCCTCGACCCCCCTCCGCCTCCCCGCCCCGTGCGCCCGCTGCGAGCTGCCCTCGGCGCCGGTCCGTCGGCGCGGCTGGACTCGCCTCGAGGCGCCATGCTCCTCGGCACGCAGATGGGAGGAGCTTCGAAGTTCTGGGTGGGTTCGAAAAAATGTTCACCTTTTTCGGGTTCCAGGGGGCCGTCGTCG